TTTGGTTTCACTGTGCCTGAGTCAGCATCCTGTCAGTCAGATGATTTCGGCCTCAGACATGTGACGGGGGGGCAGGTTCAGGCCAAGGTGGTTACAGCAGGACACAGTTCACAAGAGCAGCAAATGGAAATCAGATATCTTGCTATCCACGTGTTGTAATTGAGTAATACAATAAAAGCATAATAAAAGCATACACACCATGTTGTGTATGTCCAAAGTATGTAACATTCACACAGGCTGGTACAGTTTTAATCAGCATTTCATCTCGGCTATTTTCCCCCCTGTCATTGAACAGCTCCTGGCACCCATGTACAAATAAGTTGTGCAAATACTCCCAGCTTGTGGTGTATGATTTAATGAGGTTGACCCAGGGTCATCACTGCAGCAGAATCTAATATTATCAGTGTAATTAAAGCCTATTTATCAGGATTATTTCCATTTAATCTGCACTACAAAAGTTAAACATCCACAGCTATGTGACACTCTTTCATGGCTTTAACTCTAAGTGCTTCCCAAAGCAGCTTTTCATTTCCTGTCTCTTTATTGTCGACGTTTGATACGTTGCATTTGTTAATTCCTCCTCAGCGCCTACAGCAGATTTACTGGGCGGCGTGGTGCAGTCATGAGACCGCGGTTAGCACTTTGTTCACCGTGACTCTGGATTACAGCTGCTTTGAGGCTTTCAAAACAAGTTGCTTCGTGTTCTGATGATTGTAACTTTTCTTCCTAATGTCACACAAGGCCAGAACCCTTTCTAGATTATACTTTATTTCCTCAAAAGATCTTTTAACCTTTTTGCAGTAAAACTATAAAGAACCACAGGACAGATGCAAAACAGCCTTTACATCTGATACAGCTCTATTGAGGAAGTAGGAAAATGAAAAGGGCATATTTTTACACACTTCAGCATCAGCTGATTTTAAACAATGACAGTAATTATTTTAGGTCAGACTCATGCTGAGTATTTCTGATGGTTGTTTACAGTGAAATGTCAGGACAAGGTTCAGACTGGGGATTACAAAGAGAGATAAGCATTCAGTAAACTGTTGTTAGGGAAATGTAATAACTTATGACACTGCTCCGGTCACCTCGGTCACCTCGGTCTCTGTCAAAGATCCTTTTAATAGACATAATCTAATAATAATAACTTAATAATAATAATAAAGTCTACATTATCAATAATTACATTGTTTACTTAGTGTAATAAATGAATAAACAACCTTAAATAGTCTGATATAAACCTACATCAGTGAATAGCCACTAAAAGCCTACAGCCACGCACAGATCATGAGACGCCAGGCCCCTGGACAAAGACGTGTAAAATGTCCTCCCTCTGTCCTTCTTCTGAATGTTGCCTCTCTTTTTCTTTATTTTTGTAGTCTTTTTGTGTCTCTTTGGAGCCATGTTTTCCTTTGGAGTCATTTTGTGTTTTATTTCTGGTCATTTTGTACCTCTCTGGTGCGTCTCTTTGTGGTCATTTTGTGTTTCTTTGTAATCATTTTGCATCTCTATTTGATCGTTTTGCATCTCTTTGTAGTCTTAATGCGTCTCTATGTGGTCATTTTGTACCTCTATGTGGTCCTTTAGCATCTCTTTGTGGTTGTTTTGTGTTTCATTGCAGTCCTTTTGCACCCCTTTGTATTCCTTTTGTGTCTCTTTATGGTCATTTTGCATCTCATTGTGGTGATTTTGTCTTTTTGTGATTATTTTGTACCTCTATGGGGTTCTTTTGTATTATGGTTGTTTTGGGTTTGTTGAAGGTGGCAGGGCTGTTTGGGCTGAGAAAGCCTGTGAGTTTATCTTCTCTATCTCCTTTTACTTTAGCTTGTATTGTAGCGTGTGAAATGGAGTATGGTGAATGTGCTAGGAAAGTTAGTATTGGCACGGTCACTACCTGGAGCTCGCATTAACGGAGCCTGGGTTTGTTGAAGGTGGCAGTGCTGTTTGGGCTGAGAAAGCCAAGTCGTAATATAGGTAAGGTAAGGGAGGTTATTGGGTTGGTGTGGAGAGCAGTGAGACTTGGCATTACGTAGGGGAGTGTCTCTGGGACGCCAGAGATCACTGTCTAGCCTCCTGGAGGTGTTGTGGGACCAACTAGAAGAAACACTGGTGAAAGGAGGATCCCACCAGATGACCCCAAAGAAATATTAGTTATCACTACTCACTGGTATGTATAGTTAAGCCTTGCCATAATAGCTTATCATAGGGCTTAGGAGGTTATTCACTGAGTGCTGATCCTTTCTCTGGAGCACAAACTAATGGTGTTTATTTGAACTTCTTTGCAGTCTTTTTGCACCTCTTTGTATTCCTTTTGCGTCTCTTTGTGGTTGTTTTGTGTCTGCTTGTGGTCATTTAGTCTTTTTCTGGTCATTTTGTACCTCTTTGTGGTCCTTTTGCGTCTCTCTGTTGTCATTTTGTGTTTCTTTGCAGTTGTTTTGCACCTCTTAGTTGTCCTTTTGCATCTCTTTGTGGTCGTTTCACACTTTCTGTAGTCTTTGTGCGTCGCTTTATGGTCATTTTGTTTGTCTTTGTAGCCGTTTTGAATCTTTGTAGAAATTTTGTGTCTCTTTGTGGTTGTTTTGTGTGTCTTTGTAGTCATTCTGCGATTCTGTGGTTGTTTTGCATCTCTTTTGCGTCTTTATGTTGTCATTTTGTGCCTCTTTATTGTTTTATATCTCTGTTGTTCTCTGTGCCTCTTGGTGGATGTTTTGCATCTTTTTGTATTTCCTTGACTTTTCCTTCATAAACTTCAACAGTCACTTTATACAAATGTTGTGGTGCAGGGGCCCGGGGCCTGTACCCAGTATGTCTGCTCATTAATCCATCCAGAGAACACTTGTATGTGCCTGCAGTCCTGCATCAGTCTTTGTTTTTCCTTACTAATGCTTTCTGTTGTGTGTGTTTGTGTGTCGCAGAGTCGGCGTCCTGGAGGATGACTTCACCTGCCTGGGGATCCTGTGTGCCATCTTCTTCTTCCCCCTGGGCCTCCTCTTCTGCTTCGCACTGCGTCAGAGAAGGTGTCCCAACTGTGGCGCCACCTTCGGCTAGAGGGACCAAAACCACAGCTCATGCACCTGCTCCCATGCATACACACACACACACACACACACACACACACATACACACACACACACACACACACACGAAATCCATCATTTTTGTGTCGTTTATTTTGTTATCATTTCTTAATATTGCACATTGCTGTTGCCATTACGTTATGTACAACAAATGATCAAGATGATATTACCATGAATTATGATGTTTTATTAGAGGCACATGTAGAAATCTATTTTCATCTGCTAGTTGAGGATTTATTCTAGCACATGTACGTGTCCAGCTGTTGTCAGTGCCTTCACGACATGCTGAGTGATCATCAGAGATTCCATCAGTCATGATTTCTCCTGTAGACTTAGCTCAGTTATCTGCGGATCTGAGCAGATTCCTTAATGTTTTTTTCAAGCCAGATTTAACTGAGACACTTGTGCTTGAGTTTTTATTCCCCTTTTGTCTTTGCTGGCACACTGCATACATAATTTTGAGCTTGATAACATTGTACTCAACACAGCATCCATGTAGATCACTGATGTATTAGCTTCAGAAATATAAACCTTTTTTTTGGCTCAGTGTGTCGCTGGGAATAACACACACAAGATCTTAAAAAAAAAAAAAAGACATGTAAAGATCCTCGGAGGTGAACTGTCCCGGCTGAAACAACGGACTCGTCTCAGGCAGAAAGCCTGCGCCATTTTTGTCTGTTTTTGTGGATATTATTTCTTGGGGCCATATTTGCACTGACAGTTTGTTTGATGATTATTCTGCTGGGTTGTGCTTTTTCCAGGGCCAATGCAGACCTCAGGTACATACAATCTGAAAATGCCCTCGACTTTACAACCTCAATCACTGTTTGACTTCATGAGGACTCTTTATGTCAAAGTGCAGACTCCTCCTTTTAACACGTGGAGTTTTCACTTCATGGAAGCATGCTGGGAGGAAAAGCTGGAAAAAAAACAAATCTCTCAATAATGTGTATAATCTCTGGATTTTTATCTTAGTAATCCATGACAAGTCACCCTGCCCCATTCCTCCCAAACCAGACAATCAATGGAGAATGTCTACATCCCTGTATCTGAAGTATCTGTGTCTACGTCTTCCATCACAGCAAGATGTTATATAACTGTCCATGGCAGAAGAAAAGAGAGAGAACTGGGTGGGAGTGATTTTAAAACAAATCTTGCTTTAGAAAACACACTACGCACGCTCTTATGATTGAGGTTCTTACTTTTTATATATGAGTTACTGTAATTAAAAATGAATGCTACTTACCTTTTTGACTGCTCCTTTCATTTTTCAAACAAATGAACATCAAATGCTAAAAATATACTGTTACACATAATAAGAACACTCACACGGACACTTTGTGGATTCCTTGTACAGTGTAACAAAGTAAACGGCACATTTGAAGAAATAAATCTTTATTTTTCATACAGCAAATTCTATTGTTGTAATCGGGCCAAGAGGTGTGCTTATAATGCCACGTGTCATGATTAAAGCAGAAATGACTGCACTGTCGATGTGAAGATGAGGCCATTGTTGAAAATCTGAAGAACACAACAGGTGAATTATATTTTTACAGTAGTTATGTTTGTGTCATTAAGGCAAGAGTCCTCGCTCCTCGGTCGTCTAACTCTACAAAAACGTTAAGTTAGATGGCAAAAGACAATATTTATAGCATCTGTTGTACAAATGTATATACAAGAGGGACTAAAGATCACTTGTGTGCCTTTTTTGGATGCATTCCTTAGCGTTTTCCTCTCCTCACGGCAACAGTCAACGACATTTTTAGTATCGACGCCAAGATGCGACATTTTCATAAGGACCTGAAGGTGAAATGCAAGAGGTCCTCTACAGTACATTCTTCTACTGTCTGTCCTATGGCAACAGAAAAGATTTCTAACAGTCATTTTGACGATGAACAAGCAACAGCATAAATACATTGCAGTATTTTCTTTGACCATTTTTATTCATCCATTTCTCAAGTGCAGGTAAAGACTGTGGTCATTTAAACATCACCACCACAAACAGAGGGACAAAAATAGACATAGAAAATATATATATATATATATTAAATATATGACCATCTGTTCTGTAAAATAAAACGGTCCCAAAATACTTCCATGTGAGTTTGCAGCAGTGAAGGATCCCAGATTCAAATGGCATTTTTTTTTTTTTTAAATCTTCTTGATGCTGGCCAAGTTCTGTGTGTGTTTCAAAGAGACCAGGAGAAGCTGCTGGACAGTAAAGGCAGGGCGGAGCTGCACGTCACAGGTGGAGGACACAGGAAGGTTGACGAGATGTTGTGGGGACGGAGGATGTGTGGAAACGTGGACCGATCAGATGACGGGTGCAGAGCGGTCGTTGGTAACGGTTGGACGTAGCCGGATGGTGGCGAATGGGTTCCCTCCCCTGTGAAAACAGGCAGCAGAGATGAGTGATGTGTGCATGAGTGGGGAAAAAGGCACATCATCTCATTCATGTTTTATGTCACTTACGCTAGGTAAGCAGGCGTAGGTCTTGAGGTGCCGTTTGGCTGCGCTGCCTGTGGAGAAAACACAGATTCACCATCACCTCTGAGGCACATGAACATTCACTTTAACACACAGTATACAACCATGACACATCTGCACTATGAAAACCTCAGTCGCCTCATTTTCTGCCGTGCTTGGTGCATTTACATTTTTTCCATGTACAGTGTAAACCAGCACGTACACACATATTTCAGGCTGTTGAGAGATTGGATACACTTGATGACTGTATGAGTGAAGGAAAGCGTGGGAAAGACCGTGAGCCGTGTCACATCACGAGACAGTGTGTGGAATCTGGAGCTTCTGGAAATTCAAGTCTGTTCGACAATCAGCTGCATAATGTTTTCTTGTGACGAGTCGGTGCCACCAAACCTGAACACAGACAGGAAGTGTGGAGCAGAGTTTACCACTGGAGATGAGGTGTTTGTTTCAAACAGTAGCCTTTTAAACACAAATAAACTGGCACTGACACTCAATTAAATGACCAAATGAAAGGGGAAATAAAGCATGTGATCCTCTCTACCTGGGATCATCCTAATCACACTGATCTTGAGCCCAGTCTCCACACCCTGCGTTCCCACACAGCACATGAGGGCTTAGTGTTGTCCCACTGTCAAATCATCGAGTGCACTGGGGCCCTCCCACAGACATCTTGAGCCCTTTTACGCACACTTTTTGTAAGTCCGGAATTTCCGCAGACTTTGCCTGAGGGCTCTACACACGATTCATAGTGTCGTGACGTTAAAACACAGAGCTACCAGGGGAAGCCCTGCAGCGATTAAAAAAAGAAGGTGCTCAGTCTGGCATATTAAAGATACAGAGATTGTCCATGAAAAACACATGAAATCAAAGGAATGCAAGAGACTATATTACACATCTTTGTTACTCATCAACCATTTAACTTTAATTGTGAAGTGCCTTTGCTGTGAAGAAGGTGAAAATCCGACAACTGTACCACACTAACATGCTCTGGCATCGTCAAGGTAACGTGATTAGTCATCACAAAGTGCTGTCCCATTCCTGCTTTTACCATTTTGAACCCTCGTAGCCTCTCACACAAGTATTTACCAGCTGACGCCACTAAGTCCCTGAGAGTTCAGGGGACATTGGAATTGGGCCTTGTACTCTTTAAATCCTTGCAACACCTTGGAGACTAAGTGTGAGAGACACAACAAAACAACAAACGTGACTGGTGAGTGGGGAATACAAGGAGAAAATCTAGCTGCAGACACACACAATCAAATCAACAGAGACAGCAGAGTTTCCTCCTCTGTACTGCAGCCAGAAGAAACTGTCTATCTTCCTGTAAACACAAAAAAATGTACACCGGCTGTGTCCTAAATCACTCCCCATTTAGTATACTGTGCATCACATTTAGTGTCCAACTTTATTTAGAGTTTGTATTCTGTCAGAAAATTCCCACAACTGAATGAAAAAATGTGTGTGAATTCAGAGAAACTGATTTATCCATACACATCTGAATATCTGAAACATTTTCAATACACATGATCCACAGTCTCTGTCACTCTAGTTGCACGTCAGCTTTTGCTGCAGTTTTGTTTTGCTTCTTAGTTGCACTACCACAAGTTAATATTGTTTTCATTAATGTAAAAATGTTTTAATATTGTTCATATTTACTCAAGTCATTCTGCTTTAAAAATGTCTTCTTCATATTTTCATTGTAATGCTTCTGTATGTTTAATGTTTGCACCAAAGACCAAAGCAAAGTCCTTCTATGTAAAAACCTACTTAATAAATCTTATTTTGAATTGTGAAACTGCTGCTAACCAAGAAAATAAAAGTTGTTGTTGTCATGGTATAGCCTCGTTATAGTTGTCTTCTAATAAAAAATGTAATTTATATGACCTTAATGTTATTTTTTCCCTGTAGTATCAAAAGTGATATTGAAGTCACATTATTTTTAATTAAAAATTCTATACAAAATACTGCCAACAAGAAAAATGCTTTTTGGTTGGGGTATGGAAGATGGTGTAAACTGTTGTTTCTGTAAATTTTAAATTGAAGATATGCTGCATTTATTTTGGTTCTGTCCTCATGTGGCAACTTTTTGGACGACTATTAAAAGCTGGCTTTTATCAAGTTTGATTTTTTAAACCACGTGCCCTCAAACAATAATGCTCGGTGAATTAGGAAAAGGTTGTCCTAACATTTTAAATACTATTATGATATTAAGAAGAAAACTGAATCATATGAAAAAGAGCATTTGACATTCCCCTGTTTTCTTTCCTTGTTAAAACATTTCTTTATGTCAGAAGGCATTATTGCTAAAAGGCAGGGAAACGATGGAAGAGATTAAGGCCAAGCTTAGAAGAAGGATGATAATGATATCATTATTTAGTTGTTTTTGGTTGTTTGTTTTGTTGTTGATTTGTTTTTTTGTGTGTCTGTAATTTTTTTTTCTTTCCTTCCTATTACTATCGTATGTTTATATCAGTAGTTTATGATGTGTTATAGTGTAGTTGTGTAATTTGTATTTGCTTTGTTTAAATACATTTAAAAAAAGGTATTGAATTAGATATTTGTCAAGGCACTGCATTGAAGTCAGAAACTCCAGTGTTGTGAACATTAATGCTGACACAAGACTGCAATAATTCAGAAATGTCAAAAATCTTGATTTATAATCGTGTTTATTACATAGGGAGTAGTGGATGACTAAATTAGGGAGTGATTTCAGACACAGCTTCTGTTTTGCAAACTTATTTGTCAGCGTTAAATCGTCCTGACAGCTGACCCTGTCTTCCAACTATCAACCTGCAGTACTGCCAAGAATCCACAAGGGGTCAGGAGTGGATAAAGTAACTGATGTCTCTGTCCAGAGTGTTTCATTCTCAGTGCAGTCCCTCTCACTGTGACCTGTGTTACTCCCATCAGACACACTCAGATCCTTTACTTAAGTAAAAGTAAAAACACCAGAGTCTAAAAATGCTCTAACACAAGTAAAAGTCCTCAATTCAAAACGTTACTCAATGAAAAGTACAGAGGTATTATCAACATGTTCTTAAATGATCAAATGTAAAAAAATATTTTCACATTTCACAGTATCATATTATTATAAAGTATATTATTCTGTTTTTTTTTAACATTCAAGATTCGCAGTTATTTATTTGTCCCTGGGGAAAACTGTCTCAGGCATAAAGGCTGCCTCATAAAAACATATACTGCAGGAACAGACAGAAAAGTGCGTCGCACATACAAGTGCAAATTTAAAATGTATTCAAATACGTGCAACACCATCCCTCACTTCACACCATTCTCATGTCCTGAGTTTAGGAGTTTCACTGACAGAGGGATGAAAGAATTTTTATTTAGGTATCTCCTCTTCCTCTCTGCATTTTCATCACTAACTAATGCAAATCTTAAATACTGCTACTTAAATACTACAAAAGTACTTTTCCATCACTGCCCACAGGACATGAAGAGTTCCACATCTGTGCTTCTCCTACAGATGTTTGAATTACAAATCACACAGCAACAATCTTTCTATATTCATGTGAACACTTTACATCTCCTCTCTAAAACATCCAGTGTCTCTGCTTTTGTTGAACCGTGACTGCAGTTTAATACACACTTGTACAGTCAACATGTTAATTGACAGCTCGGCCGGGGAGCCAAGAATGTCTTCACCTCTGTGGGTTCTGCTCTGTTAAACTCTGAGTATCAACACTCAGATATCTGTTCTTGCCTTGCGCTGATACTCGGCCTGGAGGTCAAAAGTGTCTCTGCCCCTTCAACTTTCTCTGTAGATCTCAATCTCTCACATCACTCCCTGTCCCTCACTCTCTCTCTGTTTGTCTCCATCCTCTAAATATATTCATTCCTGTGAGTCGTTATCTTTTCCACAGTGAAAGGCACAGAACCAGTGAGGGTGCATTTTTCTCTCATGGTGATGGTGCATTCCTGGGTAACCCCACCTCCCCCTGCCCTCCCCTCCCCCTCTAACAAACCTACAACACTGAAAAAAAAAGGCTCGGCTGAAAACATCTCAGTTAGTTTAATGTGAAGTGAAAATACGCAGAAACAGCATTGTGGGATTACAGACGTTCTGATTCTGGCTTAATATCGACCTCTATTTAGAGCACGGGCAGAATTATAGACTAATAAATAGAGAACATAAAGTATTATGGGAAAATAAAACCGACTTCCTCCCAGTATCAGTGCAGCAGAAACACATATTTATCAAGTTTACCACCTGAGCAGCACAAAAAGTGACGCAGCACACATATCAAACTGACATTAAAATTCATGAATGCTGCAGCAACAAGTCCCGCACTAACCCAACACACGTGCACAAACATGTGCACACACCAACACATCGCTTCAGCCACCCACTCACACACTGAGCTCAACATAAATCAGAGTATTACTGTAGCAGTGCAGAACTTTTCCCTCACACGCAACTCTATTCTGAGACGTGTGTGTGTTTTGAGTTAAAGTGGGGATTTTAGGAGATAAAGTGACCCTGCTTTACCTTGGAAAATGGAAGGAGGGACAGACAGACAGAGGCATGCATCTGAAATGGCGAGACGGGTGCGCAGATGTGGAGATAAACAGACAAACAACAGCTTGAGGAACTGAAAGAATGAAGAGGGAAGGACAAAGAGGGAAGCTGCCGGGTATCGGGTTCAGCCAGAGTGGAATTCCACCATGATGCAGAGTCAGTGGTGGAGAGATGCAGCCTGCATGTGGACTGACAGGCCTGACAGTGGAGACACATGCACACACAAAAGCATGGTGATCATTGTCCCTATTACTGTATGTCTGCCTGTGGCTGTGGACCAAATGAGTGGTGAATAATGAATACTGCAGAGGCAAGACAGAGAGAAGTATCTGCATTTGCCATCTGACCATTGAACCTCTATCTGGGTCAAACATCATAGCCTGCCAGAATAGCCTCATCATTGGCTGTGTTTGTGTTTCTTGTGTGTGTACTGTGGCTCAATCCCAACCCACCCCTTACCACTACCATTTAGTCCCTCTCCTCTGTTTTGTGAATTCATGTCGAGGGGTAGGCTGGACTGATTCTTGATGGGATAGAGGCATACTTATAACTGAGTGTTACGAGATATGGTCGGCAAGATGGCTGCACACGCAACAAAAGAGACCTGCACATGTAATTTTTGTTAATAAGAATAAAAAATTACGAAAACAATTGTATTATCTTAGTTCAATGCACGAGTGGATTATGCGACAGTGGGCCCAAACTTTGTGGTGGTTTTGCATTTCTTTTAAGTTGTTCGGATGCTAGGGTTAGTTATTAGATGTCTTTTGGTAGTCATTTGGGTCTCTTAGAGGTAATTTTGTGTCTTAATAAGGTACTTTTGTGTCTCTGACATAATTTTGTGTCACTTTGCAGTCATTTTTGTCTGCTTGTGGTTGTTTTATGCCCTTTTGGGATCATTTTTTGGCTCTTTGTGGTTATTTTGCCTATTTTTGCAGCTATTTTGTGTCTCTTTGAAGTTCCATTGCATCCTTTGTGATCTTGTTGTGTCTTTTGTGGTCATTTTGGGTCTTTTTCTGGTCGTTAAGTGTTAATTTGAGTGACATTTTGTGCCCCTGGGCCTGCTCCCGATAGGCCCGTTCCGTAATCCATCCATGGTTTAATGTCATTTCAATGGATTATGGTCCTTTTCTTTAAAACAAGCATAGCAAACAAAGCTAGTGGTGTGATGCTGTCTTGGTGGCTAACTAGCTAGCTAGCTAATGTTACATTGTTGCTTCTGATTTGTACGAGACTGTCCTGCATTTTGTCATATTTTCATGTTGCATTCCCTCCCTTTGATGGTATATGATGCACAAACTTTAACTTAAGTCCAGTAGCAGAGTAGCTGCACTTGTTACTGCTCCTGCAATGCCAGTGCAGATTGACAGGGATGGAGTACAGGTTGCTAACATTAGCCTACAGGGTGGCCTGCTAATGAATTACTTGATGACTTGTTTGATCGATTGTTAACATGAAACTTAAGTTGTGAATGAATTGCCAGCATCATTGCATTTCTGTCTCCATCAGATAAGGACAAATGTCACTGTGGTAACAACTTTATTGCCACAGCCCCGTTTGTTTACATAAATGACATTGCTGATGATGACAATACTGATGATATATCAGGATCTTAAAGGGTTGTCTTATTTCATTTCAGGGGAAGATTTGGACCACAACCTCTTGCACTGTAACTCTGTCTCACGGGGCAAAGGGGCACTCGAAAACAAGGTGCAGGGGCATAAATAAGAAATGGGATTGGGCCTGTGTCTGTCTCAGGCCTTCCATGTTTAAAATAAAGGGCTAAAAGTATCACATATTATAAGTACATTAGCTTTAGGACATGAGACTTGATTTGACTTGCAAATCAGTGACTTACAGCATACTGACCATATCATCCAGTGAGTCAGTTCTAGTCCAGATCAGGGGTGTAGCACCAGATTCTGGGTCCTATGTATAAGTAGTCTCTGTGGGCCCCACACCCAATACAGCCTTGGGTAATCAGTGTTAATTAGTCTCTATGGGTAGATGTATTTAGCTTGATGACTAAGTGAGGACGAGATAGTTAGTTTGAGTTGTTTTAAACATCTTAAATAGGAAATATCCATAAATGTATCCAACATCCCACTGTGGCTGAAAGGTGTGGAACGTTTTTAAAAGGTCTTCATGGAGCTTAAAAGCAGTGCTGTGTGATGTCGTGCAGAGTGTGTGTATGAGATCGTGCAAACCGAGCAGATGCATTTAACCTTGACCAACCACAACACATTTACATATATGCAGCACGGTGGAACTACGAATGCTTTCACAGAGGAAAACCGCAACTTTGGTTGCTGCTTTGCATGGTATGCAAATGTGGAGAACATTTGTAAGGTAATGACAGCCAAGTTGGTACGGTGGCTGAAATAATCATTAGATAATATGATAACATAGATTATACTATTGATACTATTCCAGAGGATAGACATATTCAAAAACATCCGCTGCAGAGATGTAGAAAGCGTGGGGGGGGTGCCGTGTGTGTACTGCTGACCCAGAGTCTGATCTCACGTCTATCCCAGTGTCACCGCCTCATACTGGAAAAACGAGCCTTTATCAGCAAACCGGGGATTATTGTAACAAAGGCGACCTTCTTTACTCAGCCTGTCTTCATCCCCTACAGCCATGTGAGGATGAAGTCCTAGAACTGCAATTTTGGAAGATAAGACAACTGGCAGTAGCCTTTACATCACATTTCTGACATTTCTTATGTTTGTGTCCTCAAAACAAAACAGAACAGAGTTTCTCCATTGTTGTTAAAGTCTGGGTAAAGCAAAAATCAAAATGCATTCTGAGTTCTTCACATCGCAGAGAAGTGTGTTATTAACCACAGAGCCTGATCTGCATGATTAAAAAGAATGCCAAGTCTATAAAATTAGGTTTCAAAATCATAAAAAGTCATTAGTACTCTCCATTTTAAGACACTGGGGCTGTGCTCACTGAAGGCACTGAAACGAAAAACAAGCTGCTGCGCAGTGACAGCGGCAAATTAGCACGAATCCCGCACCCACAGCAGTGAGCAGCAACTGCAGGGCCGGGTAGCTGATTCAGGTGGAAAGACTGAAAGGTACATTCATGGCAACTATTTTGCTTATGTTTATAGGCCTGTGGCATTTAACACAGCTGTTATTCATGTATTTATTTTACTGACAGAGATAAGAGAGCTTGCTGCTTGCGCTCTAATGTTAGTTTTTATATAAGGATGGCTGCAGTGTGTCATTGAGCGATGATGAAATAGTTGCCAGTTGTTTCACATCTACAACAACTATTTTCTAACCTATATAAAGTGTTAAGAAAGAAATCACTGATTTTACTTTTCCCCGCTCTTTAGTCTCGGTGGGCCCGTATGGTGATTTCCCTAAGTAGAGATAAAATCTTGTTTATATAACTACTTGTCCTGTTCAGCCTGGTCATGGCGGATGGAAAGCACCCAAAATAAAAATAAAATACCAACAAAATACCCCAAGCAAGAGGCACAGTATCCCCCAGACACGTAGGTTACCAGTCTATCACTGGGCCACACACACACACAACCATGTTACTTTTACATCCATGGACAATTTAAGTTTCCAGTCCACCTGATAGGAGGCTTTAGTACAAGTAAGCTGCTTATTGAAGGAGCTTTTTCCAGTTACAGCAACCTAAATATAAATTGAAGATAAGCAGTACAGTAAATGAGACATTATCCAATGTTAAGATGTGCCACCTTCGCCTCATGTTGAGCCAGAAGAATCCCTGCTGCTGTATGCTTCTCCAAACTGACATTTAGTATTCAAATTTCTTAAGAAAATATTATTAAATCAGTATGTTTTTACAAGCAGAAAATACCCAGAATATCCACTTGCTGGTATGTGCTTGTGCCTCACATGCACTTGCTTATAAGATATCCACACAACAGAAGTTGTACTTGCAGCAAACTCCGTGTTAATCTGCCCCAAAGTCCCAATAATTGATTTTTATTGTGTATGTCAGCCGACACTGAGAGTGTATCAGAGTATGGTCAGGTTTCCAAGGCATAAAAAGCTCATCTGACACCACACACACACACACACACACACACACACACACACACACACACGCAGTCATCAGCAGTCAAGATAAGGCTGCACAGCTGCGGGTACAGTAGGTATCAGGTGAGACGGAGCCGCACACTGCCAGTTCTATCACGACACTATGCACAGCAGAAAAGTATGACAGGAGACAGTAGGTCAGAGTGTTTTGGCTGATTATATGTCTTAGAACAATCGTCTTTATCTGTACTAGGCTCACTGGAATATTCTACACACACTTAAACTCTTGTTAAAACTGAAATAGTTTGAGATGAATGCACGTAAACCAAACCCACTGACTGACCATGTGATCAGACGAGGTGGAGGAGGCTGCAGAGGGCGTCGGGGAGTGGTGGTGGTTGTTGTTTGTGGTGACGGCGCTGGTATTGTTCTTGATGGCATTGAGCTGTGGGGTGTCACAGTAGTCCGCTGGGGGGAGCACCATGGTGGCCTCGTCTGTCTCCGTGTCCTGATGGTGAAGGTTGACAACACTTCTACTGCGGTACGGGGCAGCAGACACACTGTGCAGGAGCATGAGGAAGAGGAGGGGTGGCATGAGAGATGAAGGGGAAAACAAAAAGACAAAAATAGAACACAGATGGGAAGGGAAAGAGAGGATGAGGATGGAGTGGAAGGAGAGGAGTGAAGAAGGGAGAAGACAGTAGCAGAGGGGCGAATAAGGCCACCAAAATGACATGTGTGCATGTTCCTGTGTTTCTATCTTCAAGGCCTGTCTCTTATAGAAAGGTTAATCCTAAAGTTGCTGTTAGGCTCATAGACACGATGTTAAAATTACGGTTTTGGGGTACAAACTAAATATGGTCAGTGGGGGGTCCTCATGAGGACAATAGGACAAAGATGTGTGTTGTTGTGTCCCCCAGAGCTGGTTATACTTTAAACTTTCTGTAGCAGTTGGCTGGCAGCCTCTCTGTGGGAGGTGCAGCACATTAAGATCTAATAAATTAATCCGACAGGGATTAGTCTCTTTGAAGAAAAGGCTGGAGTCAACTCACTGAACCTTCTCCTTCCCTCTCTCTTTCTCTCTCTCTCTCTCTCATCAGCAGCAAAATCTTTTCATCAGCATAAAACATCCTGTTTCCTGATATTTTGCTGGGCTGGTGTGAAAAGTCCAAATTTAGATTCATTTCAATTACACAGATTTGATGGTTACACAATATTTATATGAGCAAAAGATACTTCAAAGTTTGTTTTTTTTTAGGAGCTTGAATCCTTAAAGAAAAACATCGCTGCTTTCATGAACGATTTCTGTAACACAACACGCACAGTGTTTGAAACAGAAAGATTTCATACGGCTCAACGCCTGAGCAGAATGAAAACACTGTTTGAGTTGAAGGGAAACTTTGTATTTTTCAACCTGGACCCTGTTTTACCACATTACAAGGTCACAGGTCTCGGTGTGATCCTTGATTCAGATCTAAGCCTCAAGTCCCACATTAACAAGGTGATAAAAAAATAATTTTTCCACCTCAGAAACATAGCTAAGGTACAACCATTTCTAAATGAAAAAGATGCCAAGAAATTGATTCATGCCTTTATTTCAAGCTGACTCGACTACACCACTGAGAGACTTCAGCTCATTCAAAACTCTGCAGCTCGGCTATTAACCAGAACCAAGAGGAGAGGGCACAGCAGGCCAGTCTGAGCTGCTCTGCACTGACTTCCTGTTACATTTAGAATTGATTTTAAGCTCCTCCTCTTTGTTCACGAAGCCCAACATGGGCTGGGACTGAGCTACATTGCTAACTCCCTTGTTAACTAATTACCTCCACGAACACTGCGATCATCTGCTGCTGGTTTATTGGAGGTTCCCAGCAACAACCGGAAGAAGACCAGGGATGCAGCCTTTGTCAGTTACGCCCCAAAGCTATGGAACACACTACCTGTAGATATCAGGGAAGCTAAAGACATATCTGTTCACTTTAGCCTTTAACTAGCTCTGACTTCCTGATACAGGTCTGAGACTCTTTCCATTTACGCTTCACGCTGCTGCAACTCTTTTAAAATCTTACTTGATTTTATGATTTATAATTTTACAACTCTGTGATTTTATGAATCAGTTAATCCATGTTTTAAACTGTTTTAAAAGTGCTCATACTGTCCTTATTGTAAAGCACTTTATGCTGCATTTCTTGTATGAAAGGTGCTATATAAATTAAGTTTATTATTATGTTTTTGTGCCTCAGTGATTAATGGGGACAACAATTTTTAAAACAGTATTGAAAGAGGCCACAGCTGCAGCTGCAGTGACAAAACAGGTTGCAATGTATTCCCTACAGACAATTGTGCACCATTAATTCACACTCATTAAAAAGTGCTTGTTTTACCACTGACAGGCTCAGATTGTTAATTTAAGTGTCTGACAAAATTCCAGAAAGGCCCTTTAGAGAAATTAAATGTTTTTCCTTATCTTTTGCTGGTGTGTTTGTTATCGTGACCAAGTCTCGCTCAAGCAGAAGCCTTGTTCGGAAATCTCACAAAGATGACTTGTTGCAGGAAAAACAACGGTGGAAACATTAGAGTTGGAGAGACTTTGTTGTTCTAGAGCGCAGAGAGCGTAGCTTAGTGTTGTCTAAATGATTTTCAGTGTCATGGCTGAATATCTAGCTGATTTCGACAGTGTCAAAAAGTCAGGGGCAGGGTAGCCCCACGTACAAAGGATACGTCCTTGTCGCAGGCCTTTGCTGCATGTCATCCCCTCTCTCTCCCCCTTTTCACGCTACCACTGTCCTATCAAATAACGGCTAAAAAGCCCCAAAAATAATCTTCTAGATTTCAGAATGAGACTTCTCCCTGAGCGAGACTTGGTTACACACAATGACAAACAGACTGGGTCAGCCAAAGCCAAAGAACAATGTTTTATTCCTCTGTAGAGTCCTTTCTGTAATGATTTCAGACACTCATACTAACCTGAGCCTGTCAGTGGCAAAAACAAGCACTATTAATGAACATAATTGACGCAGCACAATTGTCTGTAGGGAATACACTGCTGCCTGTTGCACTTGTGTGGCTGCAGCCGTCTCTCTCAACACTGGACCAGTTTCAAAAATCGTTGTCTCCATTAGTCACTGAGACACAAACACAGGGGAAAACGGGGTCCAGGTTGAAAAGTACTGACGTTTCCCTTTAAGCACAGCAGGAATCAAAGGTTAAGGAATGGGAGAGTCCCCCATAGGATTAGAAAGGTTATCACTCTAACAGGAGTAACTAGAGGAAACACTGCCAACAATACAGCTGGCTGCAACATGAAACCTGCCGGTGTGTGTGTGTGTGCGTGTGTGTGCGATAGCTGGAACGTGGAGTCTCCTTACCTGTTGTTATTCACGAGAGGCTCGGAGAGTGCACGGCAGTATGACGAAGGGAACCAGCCCCTCCTGCAAGATGCAGACAAAGAGAGGAGAAGCCAAGTTAGGGATGATTACATCTGTGGTCTATCCTACTGCCAGCCTGCCTATCAGTTCTCACTGCACAGGAATCTGAAAGCCTCTCTAAATGATTAGGAAAGAGCTCTGCTGCTCTCCCCTCAACTCAGGAGACACGGAGACACATATGTTTATTATTTGCAACATTATGTATACTACAGAGCTATTATAGTTCTCTCTATTGTTGTATAAGCGGTGTTGATTTATGCCTGCGGTAACTATGGCAGCAAAAAGCTGTAATTCCTCAGAAAAGACATCCTTGTGAATGGATCCCTCTGATTTCTGCACACTGATCATCAAAGGGTGCCATTTCAAAAGCTTTTTTTTTCCCTTTTAATTTGATGGATTTTATCTTTTCTGACAGCAAATCCTCCCTAAGAAGCAAAGGAAATCAATGAGTTGAATGAATGAAGGTCTCATCTGAGCCGACACACAACTAGTGTTTGTTTGAAGCTTGAATGAATCTCTGCGTCGGTTTAGTAAATGAGTCCATGTTTCAGTCAGACTTTGGAGACCTGTGAGGTTGCTGGTGGCCTCAGTAAGAGAAATCAAGCAGCCATTTGTTCCTACCCACACACACACACACCAAAATAACTTCATCATAGGGTTGAGAACGAACGTGACGAAGCTGGTCAAATGCTCCAACAACTTTTCATCTTGATCTGATTTAGAAAAAGGTTTATTTCAGCTTGAAAACACATTTAAAGGAATTTACATGTGAGAATGAAAAGGTTAATTAAAAAAATGAGGCACAGCTTGTCTCTATCACAAGCTCAGACCAAGGACTGTGTGTCATTGTGCTGTTACGGCACAAGATTGTTCGTAATCAGTACATAGCGGGTCAGCCTTGCCCTCCAAGTGGATAAATGTTAATGTTTGCACACTGGCCTGGAGACCGGGTGTTTCCTTCATGTACCTGCGATAAAAAGTCTCCTACTGACTCACTCAATCTCACTCATATTAATAACAGCGTTTATTTATTTAGGGAAAGGGTTTGCCACTGAGAACACAGGCTCGTTTCCATGCTGGCCACTGTACAGGTATTGATAAAAAAACCTTGCCCAAGGACAACTCACTGGCACTTGTAGCCAGAGGTATTCACTTTCCCCTATGGAGTTTTCCTGGACAGGAAAGCAACACTCTCACACGCCTATTAGGTTGATTAGACAGTGGAATCACATTTATGCAGGGGAAAGTGACCATGATAATAACAACACGTCAGTTGTCAGTATTTGTAAAATGTTTCTGTGGTGTATTATTTATTACTAGTGTGTTTTCGCTTGCTTCCTCACTGACATTCACCCCTCAGTCCGTCAATAATGTGTGAGAGTATCTGAATCAGTCTGGGTGTTGCCAGGCGAGTTGCCGGGATACACTATCAAAGTTGCTATAAGACAAAGGGAGAGCCCAGCGAGAGACCCAAAATCACCAAAGCCAAAGCTCCTGCAGGACACGCAGCCCATCTCTTCAGGCTCTGTGATCTGATAAACATGATGATATACACTTTTTAAGCCTTTAGGCATTCCAGCTCGCCCTGCTCGCAGCCGTGAGGCAGCAAGACCAAAGTTTAACCGTGGAGCAGCCTCACTTTTGAAAGCAGCTCAGAGATGACTCCTCTCAGCCCTTGATCAGTTTTATACACATACATTTGTCAGGTTATTTCCCTTGATAGTGATAAAGATCAAACTTGATGAATGATTCAAATTCAAAAACACACTTCCAAAGGCTTCAGATCAAATCCCTGTTTAAAAAGTTAGACATCAGAGAGCCGTGGAGAGCCGGCTTGGTTGGTGCCTGTCTGTGTGGGAGAGCAGGTGGTACTCTGAACTTCCCTCTCTGTCTCACTCCAGTCCGCTATCGTACATCCCACCCTCAGGCCATACTTTACTTTGATTTCCTTATCAGCGAGTGTTCCAGCTCAGGCAGCACTTGGCGAGCCTGGAGCTGTGTGCGTACGTGTGCATGGTCAGCATCACAATCAGGCGAGGGACCATCTGGCCAGTTAGGACAGTGCAGTCCATCTCATGTCAATCACATGACTAGAAGGAGGGCGGAGGACCATGATATGCATGATTAAAACAACTGCTGATGAAGGTCTGAATTGAGGTGTAAGTGATTTTTGTGAATTCACACATAATGAAATATAAGGTAGACGACGTATATACTGGCTGTGATAATGTTCACACACATGTAGTGCATCACACGTGTAATCATGTCTCAATGTGAAGTGCAGCATGTGTACATGCCTCCGTTTATTTATGACTCACTTTCCATTCTTCTCCAGCTCGCCATACATCCACCCGTCTCTCTCGTCGGGGATGAGCAGGATGATGACGTCTCCCTCGTCAAAGCTGAGCAGCGTGCTGTTGTTGCCGGCAGTGTGGGGGAAGATGGTGCGCACACGTGGCCTCTTCACCATATTGTTGAGGCCAGTGGCGACAGACACAGACCTGGCAAGATTGTTCTCCTCACTGTTCCCGTGGTCTGGAAGAGAGGTGAGGATCAAGAGTAACAGTGAGAACAGATACTGCAGGGATGACGTTTATTTGAAGGCCACCCTGGATTATAACATTGCTCGTGTTCCCTCTACAAAAGCCAGTGGGATTTGTCCAATCAGTTTTGGATTACTGTAGAAAATAAGCTCTGTGGCAAACAAAAGTTTAATTACACATTTTGTTCAGCAAGATAATCTTCACAAATGAACCCCACTTTGTGAGTCATTAAGGGTAAATGCAATCAGAAGTGAAAACCAAACATGAGGCTATAAATGTACGACAACACGCCACCACAACAAGGCTGTAAAACTGTGCCTGTGCAATATTTCTCACATCATCATGTGCAATATTATTCTTCAATATCATGATCACTTGCCAATCCAGTGCAATATAATTTTCTCAGTCATGTGCAATACTACTTCTTATTGTTATATCAAATTCAATAGAACATTGATTAGCAGCGCAGTCTGCTTTTTCTACCATTTTAGCTTATTTTCAGTAACTTTTGTACTTATCATCCTCTTATTGTAACTCTATTAGGCACTGGTTTTAGCTTTTGCTCCTAGAAAACACTTTTGTCTATCTATATTTGTATATTTTTTGCCAGATATGTAATAGTCATTGTCATCGTCTCTTTTAAGACATGTAAAGGCTTCAAAATGTACGAGTGGGGCATCTACTGATGTATTTTAAGTCGCAGAATAAAATGTTAAAATATCTAAATAAAGCTAATGTTAATCACAAACCTTATTTCAGGCACCTAACAAAAAAACAGATTAAAAAACCCATTGACTTTGAGACAAAGGAACTAAAAAGCTAATTCATTTTTGGGGTTTTAGGACTAATTCCTGCAGCACTCAACAACAGACAAGCCCAGGAGTCTGTGGTGCGTTGAGCTTAGTCACATCAACATCCTAAGATGCTCACAATGATATTGTAATAGACAATTTGACATTTGCTAATTAGCAATCAGCACAAGGTACAGCTGAGGCTGATGGGAATGTCGTTAGCTTTACAGGTCATGAACCAAAGTACTGGACAAACAAAATTTCAGCTGAAGATGGCGCTGGGTGAAATGTCGGCTGACCAAAGTTATTACAGTTCATCCTCTGGGGACTGTGAATGTCTGCTCCAAATTTCACAGCAATCCACCCTATAGTTGTCAAGATATTTAAATATATGAAACAAATATCAACCTCATGGTGGCACCAAAGCAAAAGTCAGAGGATCTCCCAATTCATTACAAGATATCCTGTTGAGTATCTGTAGCAAATTTCATGATAAGTCACACAATGTTTGTTACAAACTCTAGAAAATGGCTGAAAACCAATTTATTTTATCATAACAATCTAATCACAGAACAGATTTTTGTAGTGATGACAAGGCAACGAAACTGCCAAGACTAGAGTGTTACATAAATCCAAGCCCAAGCGAAGCAGATGCTATTGTTCTGGTTAAGATCAAGGCCATTCACATTACAAGAAAGAACAAAGCACAAGCTTAAAGCCACAGCTGCACAGAGTGAGGTGCCAAATGAAAACCAAAGCCATATTCCATGCCATAATACCTATGCTGTTTGTAGTGCTGGTGACAGTGGTGGTGTTGTTCTCCTGGGTGAACATGTTAGCCAGAGGACTGGACTGAGCCTTCAGAGGTGGGGCCGGCGGAGCAGACATGTTCTGTCAAAGGAACATTAAAGATAATGTTAGCATGTGTATACAGAAGGGTAAAACCTAAGGGCTCACTTTCGGTTTCCAACCTGACTTCTAACATGTGAGCAAGTGTATGTTTCTATTTCAGGCAGACTTGGCTTGTCCATTATTATGATTTAAAAAAAATATCAGATCAAATTTTATGACTAAATTCCATAAAATTAAGGGAAATCCAAGTGGTGTGAGGCCAGTAGTGCTTTATGTGTTTGACTGTTTAAGCATAGTAGTAGTGGCCTCATAAAAAACTCAACATAAACCACAGAGCAAGGATACTCGACTTGCTTTGCCTGAGGGGCACTTTTACAAAATGACAGGAGGCCAGGGGCCAGTTAATACTCAAGCATTAATGTTTATCAGAATACATAATAAATGAATTGCCTGTTTTTCACGTTTTGATGTGTACTGTCTGAACTTATCTTCGCCAGGAGGCAAATCCAGTCACAGCAGCCCTGCACTGGTCAGGTTTCTGCGGGGGAGTTTATAGGATTTGAGGACATTCATGGCTTGGCCCCGACTTCTGTCGAGGAGTCCGGGGGATTCTCCCTGGCACTATTTTTTTTATTCCTCTCATGCACTTTGACGTCTCATTTACATTTAAACTAGTAAAAATTCCCAGTGTGAATCATTGCATAAGTTGAGTATCGCTGCTATAGAGCATATTTAGCTAAATGCATGAATTTATGGTCTAACAAAAGTGACAGATCAAACATATTGTAAGATCTAATCAGGAGTCATTTTAACTTATTATTGTCTTGTAGTAGACATGACATCAGGAGTTATATAAATGTAAAGACTAAGCTACATTATGCTTAGCGTAGCGTAGCATAGCATTAGTTCAGGCAGGACACGATGTCAAACTCAGCTCACATCCCAGCTACATCAGCTGATCTCAAACAGCCCAATCAACTGATGGAGTCAGCTGATAGATCACATGATTCCTTTCTAAGCAACCAACTAGCGTATCTCATTCAGGGCGCCCTATTTAAACTGCTCTGGCCTGCCTACTGTTGCTGCTTCCTCTGCAAGCTGCTTTGCAAACCGCCTCCACCCCAGCTCCTCCTTTCCATGCTGTGTCTGACTTATCAATGTCATTTCTGTTTGTCACTGATGCTGCTCTGTTCTGTTCCCAGGGGGTCTTTGCTGCTGCTCTCCCTGCCTTAGGCCTTCCATGTAGGCACATGGAAGGGCACGAAGGCTTGCTCTCTCTAACACGGGCTTTACTTGTTTGCACATGAAGATGTGCTCTCTCAGCCTTAAAGTCCATTGTCATTGAGGGCGAATATCTGCACGGATTATTCTTGCGGAAAAATATAAAAGCTGATTTCGTGGGTTCTTATGGAAGTTTGCACACTGGGGTGGAACTTTCGTAAAGTGAAAAAAGTTTCAGCCCAGACTTTGACCCCGTGGAATTCGCTGGCGGAACTATACAGCTGGGCCAATGAAACTGTTTGTTTATAGTGAAGTCGTGCAGACCTGGGAGAGTCCAAAATCCAGTCAGGCAGGACAGTATGGGAGAAAGGCTGATAAACCTCGTTTCAAAGCACCCCGTCCTTTTTGATAAAAGACAGGATGATTTTATGAACAATGAATTAAAGGACAACGTCTGGCAGTCCATTGTCCAGCTTGGTGGCTGCGGTGAGAGTGGTAAGTGCTAAAAAAAAGTTGATGTTGACGCTTGTTAAACTTTAGCTTGCTAGAGTTGAGAGTAGCACTAGCTAGCTAGCTAGCAAGGGTTAGGGTTATAATAAATAACGTCATCGTCGCTGCTGCTGCTACTTTCGTCCATGTTCACCCACACCAGTTCACACTGCGTGGACTTGGAACACAACAATGCGAAATTCTGCACCGCGTCCGTACCGCATCTGTGTGTATGGTTTAAACGCGGAAAAGCGCTGTGCAAATATTCCGCAAATCCATCCCGCATTTCTGCATCGCAGCAGTTAGAATGAACCTTTAGGCTTTCCTCGTTCGTGCATGGAAGGGCAGAGAGGTGTGCTCTCTCCGCTTTAGGGTCTTCATGTAGGCGCGTGGATGTGCAAACAGGCCCCAGAACAGAGCTATACCGCAGAATATAATACTTCAAATGGAAATAAAGTTTTCTTTGACTAAAGTCTTGATTAAAATTTGAAAATAAAAATAATTCAATATTGTATTTCAGGAAGCTTTTCTTTACATAACATATGCGATATTTATATCAACTACACATCTTAGAACACCATCTATTCTGTAAGGTAAAGTGTGGTGTAATCATTAGGCATTAATCATATTGTGTTCTACCACTCAAAAGAAATGAAGCACTTTGAAACAAGGCAGCAACATATCTTAAAGAGAACATATATTTTTTTGTCCCTTTGCCCCTCCCATCATACCACACTGTGCCGTGACGGGGACGGAGAGGGCAGAGGTGTGACGGGGACAGCCGTGCGCAGTCCCTCGATCATCGACAAGACACTTTCAGGCATGTTGGTGGCGTCGTTGCACTGGTCCTGCCAGCTGTTCAGCTTTGCCATCAGCATGTCTCTGGCCTGTCCAGCAGGCATGGACATAAGAAGAGATATTAAAAGAAAACATGAGTAATCAGTTGAAACAGTGCTCACATTTGATCACTATGGTAACATGAGTCCTGCGATTGTGGGTTTTTAGGAATAAATTGTTCTATGTGATGCTTTGATTAGATTTTAAATTGTTGAATGTTCTCTCCGTAAGGTATAATCTGAAGTGCTTAAATTTAAAAGTCTATATAAGTATAATTGGATTTCTCTTCATTTGAAAAGTAAAGATAGCTCTTCACCACCACTGCAACACAGCCTGTAAAGTTTTTACTCGAGGAAAGCCTCAATTTTCTGCTCGATTCTAACATAATGAGGAGTAGAAATTACACATACCTTGTCATGAAAGGAAGCAAACTGGTAGGAGAACATGCAGTGTTTGTCCACCAGGAAACAGAAGCGTCTCTTCTCCTCCAGCAGAGCCTCCTTACAGCCATCTGCGATGAACAACTGCATGTCCATCTGACGGTTTGTCAATGTTTCCAAGCACTGACAACAAACACACATATAATGCAATGTTACAATAATGACATAAGTCAATCTGAATGAATCGAAATACATCGGTTTGTCTTTCGTCATCTCAAATAGATCACCATGTCTTATCTTCCCGACCACACGTTTGAAGCCATCTAGTCCCTTTCACTGCCGATCTATTCACAAACCCAACAAGGGCAAATGACATGAAAGGATCAGGCTTTTCTGAATATCCTAATCTCTCTCTTGCAGATTGAAAGGTATTATTAGAGTTCACTGTACTGACAGATTTAGTGAAAGGATGGAGCAATAGGAGGAGGTAAGGACAGGGCACAGCATTTGTATGGAGGTGATGTCTTATCTACACGAGCAGCCTGCGACTATAAAAAGGTCAGAAGGCTACTGAAAGGATTTTAGACTCGTGTGTGTCCTTGTGCATGTACGTGAGAGTGAATGTACTTAAAGAGGACCTATTATGCTCATTTTCAGGTTCAACTAGAATGTTTTACTTACTTTAATGATCAAAAATAATTTATTTTCCTCACACTGTCTATGCTGGAACACGTGTATTCATTCCAGGTCTTCAGTATCTCAGTGTCTCTGCACCATCTTTGCTACCTGGGAATGATTGTAACTGAGTGTGGTAGCACTTTCTACTGTGAGAAATCACCAATAAAAGTTTCGAAATCTTCACAACCAGAAATGTTCTGCAACCTATTTTACACATTTCCCTGATGTTAGCATGTAGCTACATGTAGCAGTGTAAGCTATGTAATGTAACACGTGCAGTAGCGTGCCTGGAAGAGATGAGCATATAAAGAAATCTGTCTTGATCTGATGTCAGCTTATCTCGAAAATAGTAATCGTAAATAAGTTTTTGCTCACAGGAATTACTTTTACATACTGTTACCTCATCATTTGAAACTATGGCCATGTTAAATGTGAACATTTGACACTGTAACTTTATATACATGATAGAAAATAAGAACAACCTTTAAGGAGTGCAATGCACAGGTGCTTTTGACAAGGCTGCAGCTGCACCACACTAGAGGGGTGTATGTAATGCAAAGTGTCTGGTTGTTTGCATGATACGGGGGGCTCTCTGGTGGTGGGCATGTGTACCGAACCAAATATGGAGTCTGCTCGGCACATGACCACCCTGCCACTGATTGGATTCAGTGCAGCTGCAGCCTTGTTAAAAGCACCTGTGCAATGTATTATACAACAGACCAGATGAAGCCATGGGCGAAACGTGTTGTTTGTAACATTCCAAGTGAAGACTAAATTAAAAGAAGCAATTCAGCCCTCTTGTGTGTGGTGTGTCTGCTTATTTGCCATCAGTCTGTTTCCTGCCATCACTTGCAACAAGGTATGACGACTGACAGCGCTGTGCACGGGGCTTTTGAATAAGAAAAAGCATAATCGATCCCCTTTAATCTTCAGCTTTGGTAATTTCATTTTCATTTTTATTATCTTGGTTTATTTGATATCATCATTCTGTGAGCACGAATGAACACGATACTCGTAAATGCAGATATGAGTGAACTGAATTAAGAACAGTGGTTTCAGATTAAAGCAGCAACCATAATGTATTTTGTTTATGTATTATTCATGCAGCATTATTACCACGGCCCTGGTGCGAGTACTTGTTAATGTTACCAGCATATATTTACAGTGTGGATTTGAATTCTGGCTCACATAATGCATTTGTATAGATTTCTCACAGGTCGTTCACATAACACATTTAACCTCTTTCAGAAAAAGCAAATCATAACACAGCCAGAACCCCCGCAAAAAGATAAAGCAGGTAGACTTCTTGTATCATTGTTTTTTGTGCCTGGTTTCTTGTCAGAGCCATTACTGTTATCCTCATCTGAGTGGCTGCAGTTGACACACCTGTAACGGCTGTTGATACAATGGCCCACACCCTCTCTATTCAGCTCTTACAGCCGCCCTCTTATGATAAAGCCTTAAATCACTGAGGGCTCGATTTATTTACCAGGAAGCTGTGGTGAGGTAAGTGGGGTAATGGGTAAAAAGTTCAGATTCTCTTTCTCCTCTCTGTGTTAAAGGCACAGTTTACTCCCAAATCAAAAGTACATAGTTTGTAGTTCTGTTTAACAGTCTTGATTGTTCTGGTGTGAGTTGCTGAGTGGAGATATCGGCTGTAGAGATGTCTGCCTTCTTTCAAATATAATGGAACTAGATGGCAGTCGGCTTGTGGACATTGCTGTTGAGTTTTTCAGGTGTATCTTTTTATAGGTACTTTAAACACCACAAGCCGAATGCCATCTAGCACCTTTATATTTGAGTGAAGACACCTCACCATGGCTGCTATCTCCAACACTTGGCAGCTCACACAGAACAATCTAGACTGATAAATAGCACCTCAGGTAAGACGGACAGTGTGTTGATTTTGGGGTGAACGGTCCCTTTCACCTATATCCAGAAACATATTTCACATAGAAACATGGCAGCCTTTTGGTAGGAGAATGATGTAAGTTAACCAAATTAATATGGAGTGTAAATACAAAGAAGATCATTAAAATGCTCAATTCCCATTTAATTACTTCACCAAATGTTTGTATAACTGTTCCTCTGAGTGTAAAAACCCCAGAGTAAACATGCCCTCACAACTCATGTAGAAAAAACAATACTGCTTAAGTATTTCAATAAAAACAGCCAGAAAAGATATGTGGAAAACATGACCTGCGACACCTGTGTGTGCATTCAGTGACAAAAGCTAAGTAGCCCTCAGCAGAGGTGATATCATCCTTGTCAGTGCTGTCTGCCTGACTGAGTGAGAATCTGTCTGTCTTTCCGGTGCCAGGAAGTCCTTACATGAACCTGTCCATTTAGAGTTGTTGATATCTCACTCATGACAACAAGCGTATCTTTGTGGCAACATGTCAAAAAACAAGCAGATGCAAATTTCTGGAGCGAACACACACACACACCTACACAAATAGCAGCAGAAATAGAACTCTTTTTTTTCGTTACTGCCCAGTTTCTCTTTCTTCATTTCTCTTCTGCTGTCTTTGTTTTTCTTCCAGAGATATCCCATAATCTCGCCAGCTTTACTGCAGCATAATCATGATTACAGAGTATCTTTAAAGAAACAATATGCGTCACATCAAAGTCAGATTGGGTTTATTAGGAACTGCCGTAGAATAGACTACAGACACATACTGCAAACTTAAACTGGCCTTTAATGTTGTTTAAAACAAATCTAAACCATAATGTGTTGACTTCCTGAAAGTGACTTTGTACTTTAGTGTATATGGAACTGGTGATAAAGTCTGACCAACTACGCCATATCTATGTATACCAATCAGTTGGATGAAGGTGCATTAGGTCGTAGGGCTTCAGGACACTTGGATCACTACAGATGAGCAGTATGGAGATATTTTGTGGTTTCAATTATGTGTTTTTGGACGTTTGAATCTGGGGCGCTGTAAGCCCCCATTAGGTGGAGTTTTGTTGCTACCCCCTCTCCCCTTAGATCTCCGAAGTGTTGTGAGGACTCTAATGGCCAATTTCCACCAGATGCGTGTTGGTCCGCTCCGGCACGGCAGCGGAGCCGATAGGATTCAATTCTAGTCAATGTGTGTCTTTCCACCGGCTGCGGCAGATCGTGCGGGGCAGGAAGATGTGCACAGAAACACAATAAAACATCCGGTTAATTTTCAAAAAAAACATACACAGTGTTCACGGTGGATCATATTTCCCTGCACTACACCTTAAAAACTACATAATGGGCAGAGGCAGGCCTGAAGTCAACAGGTCAGAGGTTTTCAGCCGTCATTTCACCCCGCGAACACCATGGATGAGGAGATATTAATCAGAAGATGATGGCTGAATTTTCATTTTTGGGTGCACTATCCCTTTAAACACAGATCTCCTCCACCTGGCAGCACAGAAGATCAATACAATCAGCACAGCTTTACTGGACATTCAAGATAAGTGTCACCAATTTAGTATCTCACCAAATGTCTCCCCTTCTGATTTTGAGAAATGACACTGAATAATGGCAAGAGAAGTGTTTTTGAGGAACATTATCATGTCAAAGTGAAGCTGGCCTTTGACCTTTAGGATATAAAATGTCATCACGTCATAATTTTGATCTTTTTAGGCATTTCTGTGAAATTTTGTCATTAGCAAATGAATTGTTGAGTTTTGGTCAAAAACATGTTTTGTGAGGTCACAGTGACCTTGACCTTTGACCACCAAATTCCTATCAGTTCATTGTTAAGTCCAGGTGGACATTTGTGCCAAATTTGAGGGAATTTCCTCAAGGCATACTAGAGATGTCATGTCCACAAGAATGGGACGGACAGATGGACAACCCTAAAACATAAAGTCCCCGACCAGGGCTATTTCTGGTGCCGAGGCATAAACACAAATTCTTCCTCTTGAATTCAACACAAGGGCGAGTAATTGATATACAAGTGATCATTGGGGGGTAAAGTATTCCTTAATTATGCAACACTGTGTTTCCAACAGAGCAGCTGATTATCACTATGAATGCAGTAAAAAACACCAGCTCACTAAATCTGTATTCATCACGTGCGCTCATTCAGCTAATTGAGATATTCTACAGGGAAATTGTAATTTTATTACTGCCCTCTCAATTATCTACCGAGTGTGTCACATGCATTTTAAGTACCTTTAATTATTTTTATCTATTCTTGTGTTTTGTTTTGGCAAGGAATACTGTCACATTTCACGCCAATAAAGATAATTTGAATGGAGGAGAATTAATGGAGAGACAGAGAAAGAAAAAGAGATAGTGAACACCTTTCCAGAACTGTAGAGGTGGGCGGAATAATTTCTACTAACAAGTGGATGAGGGAAAAAAAAAGTGTGAAATGCTATTTCCACACACATGCACACACAGACACCTACACACATAAACGCACATACCCTCCTAATCACTTTACATCTGTCAACACTGCAGCGAGCTTGTTGCTATGGACAACCTATATGTCTTACTATAGGTAAGAGAGAGCGAGGAGTGGCAACAAGGAGATAATACATGAAGAGAAAAACACACGACACACTGCTTCAAAAATAAATCACACTTTCCCCTCTTTGGCGCGTCGGAGCCTTGATACACATCTCAATCTTTGTTTATCTTGTGTACAGAGGGTAAAACTTGTGCTCACTTTGTTCTGAAGAATCCTTTAATCAATTGTTTGACAGCTGTGACAGCGCTCTCACTTTCTGTCTTTCCTTTTTCCTCTGTTTTCAGACGGATCGTTCCTTGTCTTTGAAGTGTCTTTGGTGTCTGGTGAATTATCTGCTGCTGTAAACTCCTGCCTCTAAGCCCCTGACACCCTGTATGTCTGTCTGTCTGTCTGTCTGTCTGGCCCATCTCTGTGTCTGTTGGGTGTCTAAATCCTAATACCTGGCCTTAAATCAGATAAGCGAGCACAGCAGCAAGCAAACACTCTTACTTGTGGTTTGGTGGGAAGGTGAGGGAGAAGTAGAGGTGAGAAGGAAAAAGGAAAGAGAAGAAGGTGACGGAGGAACAGAAATATAGTGGAGGAATGAGGAAACAGGAGAATTAGAGGCATAAGAGAGAAAAATAAAGGATTAGATTTATTTTATTTATAAGGACTATGCCCGTTAATCAGCATTTCTGTAAATGTGCCTGTGTTAGCCAGCTGGCTAATTTTCAACTGCAGTCCTTTGGCAAAGACATAAAGAGAGCATTAACCATGCAGAGTTGGCGGCCTGGCGACGGGCAAGGACATAATGCAAGTTAGCAGCAGGTTAGCCAGAAATAACAATAGCAGTGTTACGGTGATCAGTGTACTGTGTTGATTAGAAATGTTCACGTCGATCGTCCAAAAGACAGGTCTTGAGCCTTTGTCTGAATGTGTGATAGATCTTACGGTTTCATATCTCAGATGTGGGATCGCTCGATTGAAGGAGCTGGACCTGATGGGATCACACAGTCCCCTCTCAGTATCTCAGACAAAACACATTTAGGACTGAGCTATTTTCCATTATCACCTATCTCCTAGATCAGTGGTTCTCAAACATTTTTCAATAATGTACCCATTTGCAATACTTCTTTCAGCCACGTACCCCCTGACCAGTGCAAAACATTTCTGGTAGATAACAGAAACGAGGTACAATAGAGGTACAATAGAGGTACAATAAAATGAGGTAAATCCTAATGCTCATTTTATTGTACAACAACAAACAAACTCTTTCTGAGACTGATAGTACTTTGTCTATTCTGTTTTCACTTTACTTTTATACCTCTTTCAAAACGCTTTCAGACAGTTTAAAAAGAGGTACAAAGACAGTATCTTTACAAGGTACAGAAATGACAAGCACACTCAGGGTGACACTGTTGTCGGTATTCGCAATTCGTATTTGTTTTATACATGGGGTAATATTGGTTATCAGGTATTAAGAAGTGCAGTGGTGTAAATGTGTGGTTGATCGATGGTGAGGAGAGTGTATTTATGTAAGAGTTTGATTAGTGATGGATTGGTAGAGTTTGGGATCGGGGGTAGGGCTAGACAAGCACGTTGCTTCTTCCTACTCCTTTCTGGACATGAAATGTTTTGTAGGTTTGTTTTTACAATACATTCTATGTTATTTTATCATTATTTTTCTTTAGATGTTTGAAATAAAGAAATCAAATTTAAAAAAAAAAAGTCAAATCAAATTATGGATTTTAAGGTTTATGCATGAGAAGTGGGACTGGTTAGGGTTAGGGTAAGAATATCAGGGTAAGCCAATCAGAGGCAGAGTAGAGCAGGTCATGCCTTCCCCATCGTAGAAAAATAAAATTGCTTCGCAGTCACAGTTAACAATCTGGTTTCATATAAATGTGGTTTATTGAACTTACATTTACTTTTTAATTGAACTTATTATGGATTATGCATGACTGATATTTTTTAAAATTAACATAAAAAAAAAAAAAATCTCATGCACCCCAGAGGTACTCCAAAGTACCCCTAGTGGTACCCACAACCCCAGTAGATCTCTTTTATACTATAAAAAAACAATCACAAAATGTGAAAAAAAAATGCCTACAAAATTGCATACGGCCCAAGGTGACATGTTCAAATGTCTTGTTTTGTCTGACCAGGAGTCAAATAATCCATAGCTGCTCTGTTTACTATTACATATGTCAAAGAAAACCAGAAAATCCTCTCATGTGAGAAGCTGAAACACAAGAACATTAACCTTTGCAGTCATTTTTCAGGCATTAATACTGAAAAAAAAATGATTAGCAAAATAGCTGCTGATTTTTCTGTCATTTAAAAAAAGATCAACTGACTAACTGCTTCAGTTCTAGTTCGCTCCATGTGACAGCTCAATTCAAGTTTATAAATCTGGAAAAGGGAATATTTTTCCACTATTTTTTGTCACTATGAAGTCTTTTTCATTTTTTGGTAATTACAGATCAAAGTCTATGTAAAACAGGGATACTCAACTTGCTTTGCCAGGGGCCACTTTTAATAAACAGACATTAATAGTATTGAACAGTATATATAATTAATGAATTGCCTGTTTTCAACCTTTCGAAGTTTGCTGTCCTCACTTATCTTTGCCAAGAGGCGAATCCAGTCAGAGCAGCCCCACACAGGCCAAGTGTAGGCAGGGGACATTCGGGGCTTAGCTTGGACCTCCACTGGGGTGTCCACAGGCACCTTTTTTGATAAACAACCTCTATTCTGATACTTTCATTTAAAAGTACAAATAACTATGAATTAAAAAATGTTCAGCTGGCCACCCAGCACCCTGTGGCGGGCCAGATTTGGCCCACGAGCCTTAAATTGAGTATCACTGATTTAGATTAAAGCTGCTATAAAACTATATTGGTAATATAATTCCTTGTGTAATTCCTTTCGGTTTTCCCTCTCGACCTCTATCTCACTCTAACTCTGCCAGGCTCGGTGTAGGGATGACAATGTTGACAGAATACACAAACTCTTAAACATTCACACACACACACACACACACACACACACACACACACACACACAGGCAAACAGGCTGCACGACTGGATCGATGGTAGGGAGGTTATGTAAGATGTGCCGCTGCTGTGCTTTCGGGGTCACAGCTTTGAGATTAAACTCTTCTGCAATTATCAGTGTACAGAGTCACTGGGTGTGGTGGCACCGTTTTTAGTGCATCAATGTCTGTGTAACTTTGAGGCACAACAAAGTAGAGACAAAGTTCAACACATTTTACAGTGTAGTGCTTTGCAAAGAGACCGGACACACTTAACAGTAGATTCAGCTTCCAACCATTAAACCGATCAGTCTCTCCATCTGCTAGTTCTGCACGAAACAAACATGTCTCATTTGCCTTTCTAAGATTCTTCCTTGTTTGGTTGCTTGTTGTGCATGTGTGTGTGTGTCAGCTCTTATCAGAGAGCATGCGGGTGGAGCAAGGTTGTACACGAAGCGATTACATGCGGGTGCATTGGTGAAGCGGACACAAGAAGCCAACAGCAAACACAGATATTCTCTTGCATGACTGCACAGAGCAGACACTTCACACACTGTCCCCAACTACTGTTACACTGACTTTGGCACAGTGGGTCTCAGGTGTCAAGGTTTGTGAATGAGTGTGTGTGTGTGTCTATGCACATACAAACACAGCTGCGTGTGTGCGTGTCAAAGAAAGAGCATCCATGTACGATGCGTCAGGTGTCTGTCTGTGTGTCTCCGTCCGTCTCACCTCGCTCTCCTTGTTCTCGTACTTGTTGGCGTTCTTGCCTTGGCTCTTCCTCCTCAGCTTCTTCAGGTCTGACTGGGACCTCTCCAGAGACTCCTGCTTCATCTTGTGCTCCACCTGGTACCTCTTAAATGTAGCCTGGAGCAGGAGAGAGATCAATGTGAATGCAGCAACACTGATGTTTTCCTGATATTTTCCAGAGCCATGTCAGCCAGCAGGAGCCAAAGGCTTTTAGAAGAACTGGTTCAATACTCATTTGCAATTTCAATTCAGTGGAGTAAAGATTTTTGTTTCGAAAAGTTATCTATTACCACTAGAGATTTGGACACATGACATGTGCATACTTGAGTTTGTAGCCTTTACTCGACATAACATCATGTATTGCATTATGTGTAGTATGCATAGTAACACATTATTTCTCTTATGCCTCTTTTCCACTGCATGTTTCGGCTCAACTCGACTCGACTCGACTCACATTTGCTACTAACGTCACTCTATTTTGTTTTCCACTGCAGATAATACTCAATTACTGTAGGTGGGATTCTCAGCTGATCGCCATGGCAATGCCACGTGAAACTGTCCTGTCATTTTCAACGTGACACTTGCTGGATTCTTTCAGTGGCGACTGAACACAGGAACAGGGATGTAAGAAAATATCAAGACAGTATTGAGTATTGTACATTTTTCTTTTCTGAATTTGTAACCTAAAGAATCCTGCACACACTTTTATTTTATTTTTCAATCATGTAGGCACATGTTAATGCCTTTGCTCAGACTGCAAAACTATTTCTACGATGTTGGCTGTTACAGAGACTGTGATGAATAAAAATATATATCCCACTATTTCTACTTCACTGTTCCTACTTTTTTATGTATATGGTGGTGTGTTTTTTATGCTGTGACACTTTCCCTAAAATTAGATTATCGATATCGCGATATACTGAATAATAACCCCTGTATTGTTATGTTTCATATCACCAGATTCTTGCCAATACAGCCCTAAAAATAAACGCCTCTCCACTCTCTCAATTGTACGATGTAGTGTACAGCGTAGTTTTGCTGCCATTCTTTTGAATCTGGGTTGATTGAATTAAAAGAACTGTCTTTGCTGTTGACATAGCTTGGTTGTCATGTCATGTGTCGCAAAGATTCTTTACTACCAATAAGTGGTCTACAGTGTTTTAACACAGCTCAGCATGCTTGGAACCTTGATGGAGGTGATACCAAAAAAATGTACCAGATACCTTCCACAACTTTTGTAATGCAAACACAAAAAGAGCAAGTTGAGTAGAGCCGTGCTGTACCATGCATTAGAAATGCAGCATTAGTGGTAAGCTGGTTGCATCTGCCATTTGGCGAAGATGCAAATTTAACATTAGATGTTGATAACTTATATGTGATTATGAAATAAAATATAATAAATAACAATGCAGTTTGTGTAAATTCACACACATATCCAGCTGCCGTTGTGTGTCGTTCAGACATTTGCATCTGTAACATACTGCAGGCCGCAAGTCAAAGCATTAACCATCAACAACAGCACTTGAACTCTGTGTTGCTGCTGTTGAGAATGACCTTGTTTTTCTCTTATGCTGTGCTGCAGCCATAACTCTCATTAGGACATAAATAAAATGCCATGACTGCCGACATAATGACAGAAAATTATAGTGCTGAATTGCTGCCCAGGATCAGATTATGGTTCAAGTTCTTGAGCGTAAATGAAATTCTCATATCTTGTGTTCTCCATCCATCTGCCTGCTCATGACAATTATCAGTAATCACATGTTTAACACTTCGGCCTTTAGCTTAAAGATATGTTTGTGTTTCCCAAAATGTACTACACAACAAAAACATAACAGAACATACTTTTATGTAGGAGTGAGTGCTCTAATGAGCGGGGATGGATGGAGTGCTACACACAAATATGCATGCGCTCACACACATGCACAGAAAAATACTCACTGTCATGTATTTGACATCCATGTCGGTCTTTCTCTCCAGCTCGGATATGATCTCCCTGTGGAACCTCTTAAACTTCAGGTGAGGAGCAGGGAGGGAGACAGAGAGAGGGTGAGTGGTGATTAGAAACTTGAGGGGAGGATGTAGTGCTACAGTCTGTTAGCTTTGCTGTCAGCGGCAAACAGGAAAAATACTGTAAGTCTCAAAGGGAGAAACGGAGAGTGATCATTTAGAGTGTATCTGTGCGTGTGTGCGGGGGTGACAGCCAAGTCCGAGGTTGTGCTTATGAATGAGTCAGACACAAAGCGTGGGAATGCCCACAGACTTCTCTCACTTTCTCCCTTTCTCTCCAGCTCTCTCTCATTAGTGTGAGGGTGTCAAAGTGGTTCCATCGCCACAGCCTTGTTGCGATGCGGCGGCGGCGCCCACGTGGGGCGGGAGGGACCACTGAATTGGAAGACCCCATTACTGAGCACACATGATGACCTTGTCGCACACAAAACACACCCTCATCGAAGTCTGTGAAAGGTTTTCTTCCATCATTTTCTCTGACCTGATTTGATGCTGTGACTCACCAACTGGAGTCCATTAACAAGTCAACCCACTCACTGATGCTGTTAGCAACAATGCCTCGGAGGAGCGCCTCGCAACTTCCCTGCCCCAAAGTTCAGCTTTAACAGGTTATTTTCGAACTCTGGTATTATTTATTTTCCCAAGCACCGAGCTTGTGCAACATCTTAAGGAAAACATCTTGTGGTTGCTGTGTTAAGATATCAAAGTTTTAAGTGAGGGCATGATTAACAATGTAAATGTTTTTGCTGCTCGTCACCCCCCCTCCGTCCTCTCCCTGCCTTTCCTGTCTCTCTTCAGCTATGATAAAGTCAATAAAGTCAGAATGCCCTGAAAAATAATCCCACAAAAAGTACCACAATTATTGTGATCTAATGCTAAAACAATTTTACAATTAATGAACATACAGAAAATAGTGATTTATCAAATGACAGTGCCTAACAAACACATCCCAGCTTCTGCAATATGAAATTTTGCAGCTTTTCTCTACCTCATATCATCACATACCAAATCCTAAAATGTTTTAAACTTTTGGTTTGACAAAATATATAACTTAAAGATGAAACCTTGGCCTGTGGGGACGTCTAATGAGCATTTCTCCTTCATTTCTATCATTTTACAGACTAAAAATGTAATTAAAAGACTCATTAAAGATGGAATCTGCAATTCTGGAGAAAGTCCAGTAATATCTGCATTGTTACACTCACTGGCTACTTTATTAGGTACACCTGTTCAACTGCTTGTTAACACAAACAGCTGATCAGCCAGCCACGTGGCAGCAACTCAATGCATTTAGGCATGTAGGCATGATCAAGACGACCTGCTGAAGTTCAAACTGAGTATCAGAATGTGGAAGAAAGCTGATTTGAGTGACTTTGAATGTGGCATGGTTGTTGGTGCCAGACCAGCTGGTCTGAGTATTTCAGAAACTGCTGGGATTTTCATGCACAACCATCTCCAACCAAGGTCTGCAGAAGACCAACTCTGAACCAACAACACGTCCAACCTTGAAGCAGATGGGCTACAGCAGCAGAAGACCACACCAGGTGCCACTCCTGTCAGCTAACAACAGGAAACTGAGGCTACAATTCACACAGGCTCACCAAAACTGGATGATAGAAGATTGGAAAAACATTGCCTGGTCTGATGAGTCTGGATTTCTGCTGCATTCAGATGGTAGGGTCAGAATTTGGTGTAAACAACATGAAAGCATGGATCCATCCTGCCTTGTATCAACGGTTCAGGCTGCTGGTGGTGCTGGTGGTGGTGTAATGGTGTGGGGGATATTTTCTTGGCACACTTTGGGCCCCTTAGTACCAACTGAGCATGGTTTAAACACCATAGCCTACCTGAGTATTCTTGCTGACCGTGTCCATCCCTTTATGACCACAGTGTACCCATCTTCTGATGGCTACTTCCAGCAGGATAACGCACCATGTCACAAAGATCAAATCATCTCAACATGACAATGAGTTCACTGTACTCCAATGGCCTCCACAGTCACCAGATCTCAATCCAACAGAGCACCTTTGGGATGTGGTGGAACGGGAGATTCACATCATGGATGTGCAGCCGACAAATCTGCAGCAACTGTGTGATGCTATCATGTCAGTATGGACCAAAGTCTCTGAGGAATGTTTTCAGCACCTTGTTGAATCTATGACACCAAGAATTAAGGCAGTTCTGAAGGCAAAAGGGGTCCAACCTGGTACTAGCAAGGTGTACCTAATAAAGTAGCCAGTGAGCAGACATTTCATTACCATCATGGTGTAGCTCTGTTCCTTGTGGGCAAGGACGTGGAAGAGGGAGAATAGCCAGTATAGTGTTGTGTGACTCTTTCTGATCCACTTTTTTTGTTTTCCATTTACACAGCAACGGCTGCATCTGAACACCAGACACTGACTGCACCTTTTATAATGAAAATAATCATTCTTTGCAGCTATTGTTAGCACATTAACAACCTAAATTAGGCTGTACTTAATGTACCAAATTGTTACAGCTCCAGCTGGTGTTTGGCTGGGGCATGTTGAGGCCTGCCCCCTGTTCTCTCAGCAAGGAAAAAACCAACAGGTGCTCCTACAACCCAAACCTGTTGTTTCCGTTCCTCGTCCTACCTCTTTGTGCTTTGCTTGTTCGTTGTGTTACTGTAGTCGATGTAGGTGGGGAGAAAGGAGAGGCACTGTCTATCTATCATAGGTGGGAGGAGGAGAGAGAAAGCTCCTGGCTGACTGTGTATGTTTACCACTAAATGGTGCTCAGTGAATTGAGGCTTTGCTTGGGGCTGTCTGGAAATATTCAGAGCAACAGGTTCGGAGAGTAAAGTGCATTTGGGTGAGGCAGCACAATTATGGAGAAATTATGTTACGCAGGAATTTTCAGGAAGCATGATGCAAGAGCAAAAACACTTACATTTTCTTCCAGCTCGAGATTAACCTTCCTGTGGACCTCTGAGATGTCCATCAGCACTACACCTGTGACACAGATGGAACAAAAGGGAGAAAGAAACTGCAGCAGGTTATATTTAAACATATATATATATATATATAAACATGTCAGACAAGACAGGCCAGCTAACTGTTTGGTGTTGTTTGCTTTTCTAAGGAGCAAAAGTGATGATATCTAAAGATATTGTGCAACACTAACAACAGTGAGCAATGACAATGAAAACAAATCGGTTAGAAAATATGCACGTCATACGCAACCTCTAAAACCATCAAATGTCACCGGCTACAGATTACATTACAAAGGATTTTCCTTTGCTGCGATGAAAGCAGAATAAATGCATGTGCCTGGACCAGAAAAACCTGACCACCTGCTGCTCGGCTAATCAAAAAGAGCTCAGATGGCAGGCAGCCACAAATCATAACCTTCTGTCATTGCGTGTTGCTCACAAAGGCAATCAAATTAAGATTACTGAACACAATCATTATGTGGAAAATTGTCATTAAATTTCCTATTGACCGCTACAGCACACACACAATCAGTAATAATGTAAATTATCAAAAATATTTGGGGTATTTACCTCAAGTATTTCTCATGACTACAAATATACAACAAACAAACTTCTGAGTTGCCATCACTTTTCTAAGACCACTAAAAATGAGCAAACAATAAACCCATGTGAAACTGCTGTACTGACTTGTGCATAAGCGCAAACAGAGCAAACAGAGCAAACAGAGCAAACAGATGCCTTCATGCCGACTTTTGTCTGTTTTTAACATACTGTCTGTGGCCTGGATTGTGCTGCTCACAAATTGAAAAGTCTCTGCATGTGTGTGTATGTGTGTGTGTGTGTGTGTTTGGCTGGTGAAGTCCCTTTACAAACACCATTTTTAACACCCCTCAGAAAACTGGTAGACATGAAGGAATAATATTTGTGTTTGCAAAAATGTGTGTGGGCCATTGGTTTTGGTAACTTGTCTTGGCACAGATGGAAGTGCACTTTATTGCAAGAAGCAAAAGAGAAAAGAAGTATGGAGAAACAGTAAAACTACAGCTGCTGAACTGCGGCTGAAATGGTTTTTTTTTTTTTTGATGTTATAAGACGGCAAATGAGTTGGAAGATGGGGGCAGCTGTGGCTCAGAGGGTAGAGTGGGTTTGAATCCCCGGCTCCTCCAGTCTGCATGGTAAAGTATCCTCGGGCAAGATACTGAACCCCAAATGGCTCCTGATGGCTGTTCCATTGGTGTGTGAGTGTGTGTGGTAGTCTCAGCCACCACTGTGTAAATGTGTGTGAAAGGGTAAATGTGACGTTGTGTAAAAGCACTTTGGGTGGTTGAAAGCTGTACAAATTGTTTAACAAGACAGAGGCAGGGTTATTATGCATTGCTGTGCCTTATGCATGTACAGCATAGATGTAGGCTGCATGACACATCGGAGGATATCATGTGTCTTCTAATGCTAGCCTTACACAAAACGACTTCTCAAGCGATTTCACTGTTGCAGACAAATTTCCAATGTCAACAAAGACTTGACAGTTTTGACTCAGTCGGTGATCTCTAACATTTGGTGTAAGGAGGTCATAAAACTCAGTCCGAGCTGTTAAGTCAGTCTTTTTCTCATCTTGACGGTCCAATATCACTGTAAGTTGTCAGTCTTGGCTCATGCAAATACTGTAGTTCAATGACAGGGACATTATCAACAACCAATAGCTGCACTCTCTTCAGCACTAAACAGGAAGCAGCAAAGCGAGTAAACAGTAAACATAGAGGGGACTCTGGGGAGGAGCGTGAACATAAACATGACTCAGGAGGTGCTACTTTTAATTTGGCAAGTATCTGATCCACTGAAGAGCACTTATCTCAATAAGAAATCTTAATTTTTGAAAGAGTTCGCCTCTCATTCCCACGGTGTCCTCCCACTAAAACAGTGCAACTAACCAATAGAGGCTAGTAGCGAATGGAGGCGACAAAATCCAAATGCAATTTTTGTGCGCAAATGCAGTTTACCTTTACAGATTATCTTGATGGTGAATTGAAAAGAAAACTGTTGACATATGACACCTTTTATCTTGTGTTTGACACGTAAGGTATTGTTAATATGTCAAATTCTTTACAGGAAGATTGGTGTAACATTTGGGAAATAATCTCAAAAGGAATCTAGTTGTAATCTTACAAATCGTGACGCCTCAAGATCCTCAGTCTTTGCAACATATCATAGTACAGGGTGTCAGACTTAAGTCTTTTAAAAGTCTTTTTAAGGGTTTTTTACTGTACGGTAGACATTAGATATAACAGCAGGATGTAAATCATCAGAGTGGAAACTTGAATCCGGATGTTATGACTTTTTCCCACACTGGGCTTTTCCCATAGGCATTTATTCTCTATGTACAGTGAGTGCACAGGCTCGACAAAAAATGTTCTTCAGTAGCCAACAAGTGCAGCTGTACTGTACACTGGGGTGTTGACAGTGATGTAACATCGAGACATTTGTTTAAGACAGATTTTCCACTGTACAGATACAGTGGCTTCCGCATCAGAGCACAGGAACAGCTAATCTGTCTGTAACAACTAGAAGACGTGGGCCATCACAGTGGGGAGGCACTGGCTCACTGAATAAACAACACTTCAGACATTAAGTATTTCCGTGTTGGTCAAGGTTTCTAAAATTTCAACAAATGTAAATACAAAAGAAGCCAGCGCCACAAACCTTGAGAAAGGTTTTCTAAAGATCAATAGCAAGGGAACAGCTGTCTCTGAGCCTTGGCGGAAATTCTCTCTGGTCAAATTCAATAAAGCAACACATCAATATAAAAAGATAAGGATGTTATGCTCTCAGAGGTGGCGCCTTGAGAGGGGGAAAAAAAAATCCAGTTTCCTTTTCTCAACAGTGTTCTGACGTGTACACATTTACAACACTAATCCCTGACAGACCTTCAATAGGCTGCTGGTTAGATGTATCACCATGTGCTGTACGTTCATCAGCATGTAAACACGGCCCTTCCCCACTCTGTCTTTCAACACCTCCGCTGCCCCACCTTGCCTTATGGCAAGACTGGCTCTTTCACTCAGCGCAGTTCAAACAGCTTGGCAGACAAAGGACAGCACATCATCCCAGTAAATCTGCCTTTTAACAGAGCAGGAGTAAAGTGAGGGGGGAGCAAGGGTGAGGAGAGGAGAGGAGAGGAGAGGAGAGGAGAGGAGAGGAGAGAACTGTGTGTGAAGGACAGGACCGTATTCACCTATTAAGAGGGACCTTTTTCAGTGTCTGCCTTCTGTCTTCCCACATTGTAACTAACTGCACTCCCCAATGAAATATTATCATATTTTTGGGAAAATGAAACAGTGATTCCAGAGAGAAGCAGACAGAGGGGTCTACAGTCTGTGTTTGAAGGATATATCCAGGATGTCAAACTGACTCAGCAGCAACAACAGGTTAAAAAGACAAAGATAGTTAGAAGCTAAAGCTGAACTATAGGCTACAGATCACAGTGTAAAAGTGAACCACCACATCACTGCTGATCGCCACACAAGACAATGAATATAAAGGGAAACTTTGCTGATATTGAACCAGCTGTGAGGCATCGCAGTGTGTGCAGATGAACGGTGTTATCTTCAGTAGCTAGCTAGCTAACCCTACACTTTTCAGGGTTTGATTTTGATTTTGGAACAAGGAAGAAACGTATATCTTTTTCCAACCTCTCCAGGTAACGAGTATCATTAATACACAACGTGCCCCAGGCACAACATTTAGCTCCAAATCCACACAACCAGCCTGAAAAGGAAGGAAATCTGAAACGACTGCATTAGAGTCAATGGAGCACAGCTGTGCTTCTTGTCGGACCCTGGTCTGAGCTGTCCTGATGCTACGTTATGATTGGGCAGACTGCGCCCAAGGGTGGGACTTAGCAAAGGGTCAATTATGAGAAATTTTTAGAAACTTAAATAGCTAAACTGATCTTTTTTTTTTTACGCCTTTTTAACGTTCCAAATAAAAGGGTTTTCAAACTTTTGATTTTTTTTGAGTACTATTTTATAGAGACACTATAAGATTGCACACACCATAACTTTTTTATGTCATGTTTTCACATACTATATTATGACTTTTTAACTGAATTTATATGACATATTTCATCATGATTTGTTTTGGGATATTTCTATGGTAATGATGTAATGATTTTCTGCATACTACGTAGTGTCTAGACTGAATGGGCAGTTGTGTCAGCTGTTTACTTCAATTGGCAGAGTGTACACCACATTCACCCCAGCGTCATTTCACTGTTCAGCTATAGAAGATTACATAAACAAGGTCAGGGATTATGCTGCGCAGTCTCAATTCTCTTCCCTTTGAACCCAGATTTGGAACCTGGTTTCTATTTTTATCTGACTCCCTGTGTTTAAATTGTGATTTAACCAGTTTCTATTTTAATATTGCTTTTATCATCGATGCACTTATATGCTTGTGTAAGCATAAACACTATATGACTCGTTGTGAAGCACTTAAGGTGCAAAATGTGTTTGGTTTAAAAATTAAATAAACTTGAATCTTAAAACCACTTGAGGTTCACTGTTGTGCTGAAAATTAATGTGGAGCTGTGCCAAATTTTCTGCACATTAAAGAAGCATAAAAATAATTGGAAATAACACATTTAATGTGGGGGGTCTGATACTTTCTGAATATGGTGCGCATGGAGCACATTTACTCTGCATGTATGTAGAGTAAATGTGCAGTAATTACTAAAGTAAAGAGATGAAGTGCTTAATTTAGTGAGAGACAGAAAACAAGAAACTGAGAAGAAAGAAAAAGAGTAAGAAGCACATTACAGAATGAGAAAAGTCTGGCACATTACTGAGGACACTGAGTTCAAAGTAAACCAGGCTCTAAAATGGCCGGCCTAACTGCTCAGGACTGAATGTTTGACACATCTGACCTTAAAGTCCGCTTATCTCACAATAAGAACAACTTAATCTAAAAAACGTCAGCAGGTGTGGTATGGAGTCAAACGCCTGACAGACTGGTTTACTTGTTGGA